AAAAACAGACGTCACATAGGGCTAAATGCAAAGCATTTTAGTAAAACTGCTAACGTTACAGCAGCGGGGGAAATTAATGTGCATGAGTTATTTTATTTAATCGGTGTTATTTTAATGTTTTTTGACCTAAAACATAGAGACTCTGATGTTAATGTGTCTGCATTCAAGCATTTCAGTGGGCTTAAACAGATCACCCTTTACAGCAGATTTAGTTCACAAACAACTGACAGTTTTGACCTAAATATGATTTTCATTTACAATAATTCATCCTAAAATTCGACATTAGTAGCTTACTTTTAGCAGCATCAGGCGTGCGCGGTTCTTACTTGTGAATTCAGTTCACCGGAGACGGTTCATTTGAATCAGTGAGTTGTCGACTCGAGAACAGCTGCAATCAGTTAATTCTAATTCGTCAATGAATCGTTTGGTGCGATTTGCGAACCGATTTAACGGGTTAATTGAAAAGAATCAGTTTGTTCTTGAATCAGACACCACTTCTGCGTGTCAGAGCACACGATATATTATAAGGAGTAACGATATGTTTTATGAAATGTAGTGAAGTAAAAAGTACGATCTTATGCTTTGGAATGTAGTGAAGTAAAAGTTACTCAAAATAAAACTACTCCAGTAAAGTACAGATACTTGAAAAATGTACTTAAGTACAGTAACGAATTAAAACTACTCCGTTACTGTCCACCTCTGATCACTTGTAAAAGAGCAAACATATTACCATAAAGCTAACTAAGCATATTCTCACAGAAGCATTCAGGTCTTCACTCTCATTAAATTAATGCCTCATTTGAAGCAGCGACTTTTTACCATACTGTATGTATAAAAATATCAATTTTAATGTAAAAAAAAATCACAATTTTCACAACAATACATTGATGTGACAATATGATTTTCAGCATAGCTTATCATCGCTTCATGCACTTGTGCTTTAAACTAAGCATTTCTAAGAGAGTAAGAACATATGTGAGGGTAAAAATAGCCTCGAAGATGAACAAGATTTACAAGAATGACAAAATTATGAGAACATGCATTGCTGAAACACTTTTCAAGACTGCATGAAAAAATAATGCATGAAGCTAGAATAAAATTAGTTTTGTTTAAAAGTTATTTCTTTTGACTTATTGCATATTCAGATATTCATACAACAAAATATTCTGGGGGCCATAAAAGTTTTGTGAAAATTATCAAAAATGCTGGTGGTGACTGGCAACTATTTATTTATTTACCTCAAACTTAGTCAAAAACATATTCTCTTTTGTCAGAATCAAACTTTGGGCTCAGATAACACACAATCCTGACAAACACACAGACTACTGCACTGCCTAGAGAACACTAGTGAGATAAATTCAAAACACTGTTACAAAAACCTGCTTTTGGGAATCAGGAATCATTTTGCAGCTCAATGTCTATTACAGTATACAACATAAACAGAGGGGTACAAATTCAGCAATAAGCTGTAAGAAAAGTTTACTTTCATTACACTACTGTAAAGACATCTTCAGTAGATGAAAAGCACCAGAAAAGTAAAAATGCCAAAGAACCGAGTATGAATTCACAATACAGCATACTGTCAATTACTGTCCAGTAATAAAAAAATTCAGCATCCTCTGACAAACAGGTAAAATGTGTTAAAGGTTTTGAGAAATGTGTTATGAAGACTGAATGAATGGTTTGGGAAATCGGGCCAAATGAATCAGTTATAGTGTGTTAGCAATCGAGAAAAACTAATTTAGTGAATTATTAGGATTCATCGGGCATCGGGGACATATAGAGCTCAGTATCATCAGCATAACATTGAAAACTAACGCTGTTTCCTAACAATATCTCCCAAGGGCAGCATATACAGTGTGAAAAGCAATGGTCCTAATCCTGAGCCTTGCGGTACCCCACTTGTGAGCATTATAATACCTCTTAATTTACTGCTACAAAATGATAGATTTGTGCATATATTGTACATGCATGTATATTTATGAAACTCTGTACATGTATTGTTCTCACCGGCTGAAGACATTCATTAGTTCCGCCCAATGAGTCATTAACTGATGAGTATCTGTGGTCTGGCGCAAGAAAGGCAGAATAAGAATACTATCCTTATGGTCAAGCTTGGAGGTGGGTCAGTGATTTTGTGGGGATGCTTTACTGCTGCAGGAACTGGCAATCTTGACTGTGTGATGGGCTTCATGGATTCATAGAAGTCCCAAGCCATTCTGAGGAGGAATGTAATGCCTTCTGTGGTGAAAATTAACCTTGGTGATAACTAGACTCTCCAGCAAACCAATGATCCCATGCTCTCTACCAAATCAACCAAAGTTTGGTTAACCCTCTGTGCCCCTTCGGTCATTTTTGACTGACAAATTTGATATTTTGAAATGTTAAAAATCGTAGCTTCATCAGAATGACATGACACTTGGTGACTTTTGTTGCATTAGCTATGTGAACACGCACAAAAAAAATCATGGACATGATTCGGATATGTTAAAGGGTCAAAAAAAAAAAACATGACCTTCATGGTCAAAAATGACCGACATAGGAAATGAATGGGAAATACGAAAAAATATGAAAATTCAGAGAATCTTTTGGTGGTACAAACTACAAATCAGCCTCTATATATATATATGTATATAGGGAGCTATACAGGAGGTTACATGACATTACACAAGTTTTTATTTTTTTAACACCAGATGGCACAATTCTCACTTCAAAAAATGGATTTTAAATGCTTTCATTGTTTTAATGTGAAATATTGCATTTATTGAAAATTAATAAATAACAAAAAATATATTAATTCTAATGGAAAAAATAGCTTATTAAATTTGTATAAATATTGCATAGTATCATAACATCCCCTCAAAATACAAAATAATAATCAGAAAATATTATTGAACAAAAATGTATTATAATGATTTTCCTGGGGGAAAAAAACAACGAAGTTACATTTTAAGGCTTCAGTCACTTTTGACCGCTAAGGAGCCAAGTGTGACTCCTAAACGAAGAGGCCCAGAGGGTTAAGTAATCAGTCCTGGAATGCCTTGGAGTAGCCTTCTCCAGATTTTTTTCTGTGCACACCACTAAAGGGATCATTTTCTGAAAGGTGCTTTGAAACATGAATTTGTGAAAAGTGCTACATAAAAAAAATAGAGGGACTACAGATCAATGTAGCATTTCCAACTTTTTTACACACAAGATATGGGCATTTTTGTTTATTTAAGCTGTACACATCATTACAAAATGTACATTCCAAGTGTCTCAATATGTTGGGGGAAAAAAACTAAACCACTTTTTATGGCGCGTACAAACCTTTTCACAGCACTTTAATCTTAAATACAATATGTTAATTCAAATGTATTCACACTGTCTGTACATTACCACTTCTGCATAGTACACGCTATACTTGGATGTCGCTCTATATAGCTGTATATTCTGTTTTCTAGACGTTATTTTACTATTCTGTTTAACTGTTGTATTTTTCGTGAGAATTAGAAGATTCTACATGATTCTTTCTTTCTTTTTTTCCCATGTAATAATTTTAGGAAAATGTGCTGAATATGTCAATGCAAAATAACAGGCCCAAAATTGATCTTAAAATCAGCTTCATTTTCTTTATGCACAATATAACTTGCTCTTTGTTTTGGGCTGAAACATTGACAGGTTTTGCGAGATTCACCCAAAAATATGCAGGTTTTGAATTCAATTAGCTCTGCGCTGTGTGAACATCACACGACTACTGTAATGCAGACACATGACTATACGTTACTCAATAATCAATCAATCACCATCTTAGTGACTGACATTAGTTCATTCTGTAGAAAATACATTTAGTAAGAGCAAGGAACTATAGAGTTCCCTTCTGTATGATAACTATAAATGTGATTGATTACATACATATCATGACTGCTGTAAGCAAACCTAAATCAAACACAAGTGCCAGGTCGTTACTCTTAAAACTCATCCATTTCTATTTCGTCATTTCTCCTGAAGTTCTTCTGCTTTAAGACACGGACCGTGTTAGTAACCGCCGGCTTGAATAGTTCACCCAAAACAAGAAAAGTCCTGTGTGCACGAGCCATACGGACAACATTTATGATACTTTTATGGCACTTTTTAAATGGAATGGAACTGAGCAGCATGAATAAACGTCTCCTGTGTTTCGCAAAAAAACTTTCTTGGTGAACTACATCTAGTCGAACTGCAGTACATTGTGAAAAGAACCCAAAGAATATATGATGAAGATCAACATGGAAATGCGACGATGATTTGTAACAGTGCTGTCCTGTGTTTGTGAGTCTCTAATCAAACGAGGACGAGGTGAGCTGGACAGTGCTCTCGCATACCGAGAGAGAATCAGAGGTTTTCTACTGCTTCCGACAGTTGGGCCAGCTGAGACCTCCGCAGGCGGCCGTCACGATAAAATACAGCACCACCTGAGAGGACACAAGACACAAGAGCATGTTATTTCCCAGCGATGACTGGCTCAAGTTCTTCTGGCCTCCTCACATGTAGCTGAACAGCCTGTGCTTTAATCACTCCAACCGTCACTGTTTTTATGAACAAGAAACATTACAAAATGTGACGATATCACAGGATGTCAAACAGCGGCATGAATGAATCCATAGATAAAAGCAGTGTGCACTACTGAGGACATTTAACTGCATTCATTGTGATAGTTCAATGCAAAATCAGCAGGGACCAGAGACAAGCCTTAATGACATTTTTACATGACAAACTGCAATCTCACAATCTCCAAGACATTCGAAGAAATCTACCTGCAAAACTACTGTGAAATAATGTAGGCACTGTAAAGTGAGGATGTTTTCAAAGTCACTTTTATTTCTACAGTGCTTTATATACAATACAGATTGCGTCAAAGGATCTTCACAGAGATAAACAGCTAAATCAATGATGGAAAGTCAACTATGCAGACAGTTCAGATTCTGCTGTAAAGCAGCTCTAAAAGACAACAGCGTCATTATTCGGCTCAGATCGGTTCAGCTCAGTTCACATCAATAACTGTGAAGTTCATCAAACAAGTTTAATTCAGCTGCTGTATATATGCTGTTCTACAAAAGGCAGCAATGTCATTATGCAGCTTGAATCAAGTAGCTCGATATTGATTGTCAATGCTGCAAGATGTGTTTCAGCTGTAAAGCAGCTCTACAGAAGATGATCCAGCTTAACTCAGTCCAGGTTTTGTTCTGATCTGATGGTGTCAGTCAGTGCGGTTCTATCGGTAATTTTTTGAAAGTTAAAACATCTCTCAGACCCCAACAAGGCAACCCAAAATCCATCAGTAGACAGAAATGGAGAAAAAAATAAAACCTTTGGAGAAAGCAGGCTCAGTCGAGGACCAGTTCTCCTCTCGCCTAGTCAACATCCGCCGGAATGAACGCTCGTACAACAGTTAGCGGAAGCTAGAGATTACTGTTTATGAAGTTGTAAATATGGATATTTTTCTTACACAAACACATCGATTCGCTACAGGAGGCCTTTATTCACCTCCAGGAGCCGTGTGAGGCACTTTTTATGATGGATGGATGCGCTTTATTGGACTTCTTTTGGACTATTGAATCTCAACACCCATTCACTCCCATTATAACGCTTTAAAGAGCCAGGATATTTTTAAAGGGGTCATATGATGCTGCTAAAAAGAACATTATTTTGTGTATTTGGTGTAATGAAATGTGTTTATGCGGTTTAAGGTTAAAAAAAACACATTATTTTCCACATACTGTACATTATTGTTTCTCCTCTATGCCCCGCCTTTCTGAAACGCGTCGATTTTTACAAAGCTCATCGTTCTGAAAAGCAAGGTGTGCTCTGATTGGCCAGCTATCCAGTGCATTGTGATTGGCCGAATTCCTCAAGCGTGTGACGGAAATGTTCAAATGGAGCGATGATTCAAAAACATGAAAACCCATTATAAACGA